CCGCGCTGCCGCCCGTGCCGGCCGCCTGCGCCTCAACGAGGAGCCCGTGCGCGACCTGGACATCGTGCTCAAGGTGGGCGGGCCCGGGGTGGGCGCTCCCCGCGGGGGGATCGTGGGCTGGTGGCAGAGCCCGGCCTGCTCCAAGCCGTGAACATCACGCCGTGAGCTGCGTGGTCAGATAACACAGGGCCAGGAGTTGGGTTCGATAATCCTGGTGGGTTCCTTACTAGTCGGCGGATTCTACGATTCTGTGCACCCTGTGGAGGGGTTGAAGGGGAAATCGGGGCTTCCTGCCCCGCTGGATTCGGGAATGTGTGGATCCTACAGCTCCCCAGGTGCCGTACGGCTTCCTTGGCCCTTGGGAACGGGAATACCCGATGGGCAAGTTATCGGATTTACATGGTGACACACACACTTACTGCTTAAATCCGAGGTCTCAGGAGAAAGGGGCTTTAATTCTTCTCCCACAATATTACGTCCCTGTTGTTCGTGGGTGGTTGCACAAGCTGGATTCAGGCTAATTGTCCATATCCCTTTCAGAACAACGACTTCCTCAGGAACACGGTTCATCGGCACGAGCCGCCAGTCACTGCCCAGCCCATCCGTATCCTGGCAGAGGATGAGGAGGTGGTGGTGGTGGACAAGCCTTCGTCCCTGCCCGTCCACCCCTGCGGAAGGTTCCGGCACAACACCGTCATCTTCATCCTGGGCAAGGAGCACGGCCTGCGGGAGCTGCACACTCTGCACCGCCTGGACCGCATGACCTCGGGCGTGCTCATGTTCGCCAAGACCGCGGCCGTGTCCAAGCGCATCGACGAGCAGGTCCGGCAGAGGCAGGTGAGGGCTGGGAGCCGCTGCTGCTGTGCTGTCCTGGAGGAGCTGTGCTCCAAAGTCAGCCAGAGTTGGTGTCTAGATGAGCTCAAGTTCCCCAGACAACTCATGGTCACGTCGCTGTTCTTAACTGTTGGTGCTTCCCATCCCTAAGAGGCTAAAGACGGAATAAAAATCGAGTTTGGTAATACTGGGTTGGAAGGGAGCTCCTAAAAAAAGTTAACTGAATTTGGTGATATTAGTGTGATGATATTAGATTGAAAAACCTAAAAATTTAGCTGCTTTTGCTGATATCGGATTGGAAGGGATCACCTAAAAATTTAGTTCAATGTGGTAATTTAATTTAATTTGGTGGTATTGGACTAAAAGCAGTCGCCTCCAAATTTAATTGAATTTGGGTAATATTGAACTGAAAAAGGTCTCCTAAAACTTTTAATTTATTTTGGTAATTTTAGGTTGAAAGTGATCTAAAAATTTTAATTATTTTGGGAATATTAGGTTGGAGGGGATCTTCTTCCCTAAAGGATTAGGATTATCCCACGGGACTGTGCAAATTTACTGGGATCATGTAAACCCAGGATTAGCTTCAGGGCTGTAAACCAAAGGTTACAGAGAGATGGCTCCTGAATTTAATAGGAGGCAAATAGGCCAGGTCTTTCTGTTCCTGATTTCCCAAATAGCTGGGGAAAATGCGAGGGGAAATTCAGCTTTAAGTAGCTGATTTAATTTTTTTCCCTTTCCTGTTGTAATAAAATGCCGCCTTCGGATGTATTTTATTGAGGGGAGAGGGAGGAGGAGGAAGGCTGGAGCTTGGGTGTGTTTTCCACTGTGTTTCCTGAGCCTTCCTCTTTGTGTCTCCTGGCAGCTGGAGAAGGAATACGTCTGCCGGGTGGTGGGGGAGTTCCCAGAGCACGAGGTGGTCTGTGAGGAGCCCATCCTGGTGGTATCCTACAAGGTGGGCGTGTGCCGCGTGGATCCCAAGGGGAAGCCTTGCCAAACCCTCTTCCAGAGGCTCAGCTACAACGGCAGCAGCAGCGTGGTGAGGTGCCTGCCGCGCACGGGCCGCACGCACCAGATCCGCGTCCACCTGCAGTTCCTGGGCCACCCCATTGTCAACGATCCCATCTACAACATGGAGGCCTGGGGCCCGGACAGGGGCAAGGGCGGGAAGATCGGGAAGACGGATGAGGAACTCCTGAAGGCTCTGGTAGAGGAGCATCGTTCCAAACAGAGCCTGGAGGTCCTCGGTATTGGGGAGGAGGACTTGAACTCCGGTGGTGAAAGTAAAGACTGTGGGAATTCAGGTGACTGCACAAAGTCTGCTGAGGCTCATCCTATAAATGGGAGTTCCTGTCCTGCTGAGGACGAGAAGGATCCCGAGAGGGATGACGCAGCAGCTTGCCCACTGAACTCTGATATAAACCTGGAAATGCTTGATAAAGACAAAGAGCTGAGTTTGTGTGGGAATCAGGATGGGCAAACGGGGGAGAAGGGTTGGGAAGAGAAGGACCCTTTGTGTGTGGAGTGCAGGACGAGCAGGCGGGACCCATCTCCCAAGGAGCTGGTGATGTTCCTGCACGCCCTGCGCTACAAGGGCACGGACTTTGAGTACTGCTCCAGCATGCCCGAGTGGGCCATGGAGGACTGGGAGGAATGACCAGGATACCTGGCACCTGTGGACACTGCTGGCCGGGACAGTGGCGTGCAAAGACCAAAATTGACTTTTCATTGTGGTTGAGGTGAACAAAGTGTGCTTTGAGCTGGGATGGGAGGGATCAGTGGGGCTGGAGAACTGTCCTGCTTCGCACAGATGCTGCAAAAAGTGAGCAGGGAAACGAGGCTAAAACAGGAGCTTTATGTTGCCCTTCAGTGAACCAGCACTTGAGGGCAACAAGGACCAAACTCTGCTCAGCACAGGCAACTTTGCCTTCACCTCAATGGATTCTGAATCAATTATCCACATGGATAATGAAGCACATGCACAAAAAGAGTCAAAAACTGATTTTTCTTCCAGCCTGCTGTGTTCTTGTGTCTTACAGTAAGAGCTGCTGGATGTCATGTCATAAAAAACCCTGTTTTTACTGTGTTTTATTGTCAGATTGATTTCAAAACTACAAGATTACTCCTGAAAACACTGTGAGGTAAAACCAGAACACTGTGATCTGTTTTGTGCCTGCTGTTTGTCAGCAAGATCCACTTGCCTTTGAAATTTTCAACATTCATTCAAATAATTACTTAAGTTAGTAGTTCTGAGTGCAGGTATTGGGGCTGGTTTTGGAGGTACTGTTCCCCAGGTTTTGTCTCAAAGAGATTTTTTAATACCACTTCAGTATGACAATCAGCTTTCAAGAAAAACGTAAGCAGTTTTGTGAAGCAGAAGACTTTAAAAAATAATATTGAATGATAAATATAACCATAGTTCTTATTTTTGTCAGTGTTTACACAGTTGATTCTTGGCTTCTGGGCAGGTTTTTATATTAATTTTGGAGATCTCAGGCTGGCCAGCCCACCAGAATTAGTACCTTCCTCCTGAAATCACTTGATGATGTCACCAGGGTCAGGACAATAAACCATTGCATGTTTCCAGCAGCCCAAAGGAGCCAAGTGATGTCTTTTTCTCCTGGATTATCCAGCTGATATTGAGTATTTCCATAAAAATTCACTCAGGGGTTTGAGCTTTGCTCTTCCACATCCTGCAAGTGGTTTCATTGTTCTAATTTAATTCCAGATATTTGGAGAGATGATGCTAAAGATCAGTGTTATCCAAACTTTTGATTTTGGAATATACCTTTCGTGGAAATAAATGGAATCTGGGCACCTTCACTGTATCAAAAAGGGTGGGGAAAGGGGGTAGATTTCGGGATGGAATTTAAATTAGATTTTGATGTGACCCATGTTACGCTGGGAGGTTTTTTGGTAAAAAATTTGTTACAAAAAAAATGGCTCTGTTGGGGATTTTCTTGATTGAGACTGGGGCCTAAGGGCCTGATGAGGAACTTCAGCTCAGTACTGCTTTTTTCCCCTTTTCCTGGAATAATGGCTGCAGTTGGCAACTTAATTTCCTGGTCAAGAACCCCCTGGGCTTCTGTTTCCAAGATTGAGCAATGAAAATCTAGGATTTATTTCACAAGGATCCTACCTCTAGTTGCATTTAATTTAATTTAAGGTTAAAACAGTGTTTGATGTTTTGTTAGCTGGGAAAATATTGCTCTTTTACATGCCCTGTGATAAATTCCCATCTGAGATTGGGTCTGAGGTAAATACAGGGTCCTGGTTGTGGGCATAAATTTTTCTATACAAAGTGTAGGTCCTGGAAGAATTCCTTTCTTTAGTACACCTTTACCTGGACACGTCTTGACTGTGCTGGGTTAGGTTTGGACTTGATCTTGAAGATCTTTTCCATCCTAGATGATCCTATAATTCTGTCTTTATCAGGAGAATGTTTATCTCACTATGCTAAAGAACTTTTCCACACAAATAAACCCTCCTGGCAAACTTCCTGTGCCTTGGCCTCTCCTTGTGCATGACTGACTGGAATTAGCCCCTGAACACTCACCTTCCACACAGTAATTGGTGTCCCATTGTGTTTTAACCCATATACTGTGGTTGGGAACCTTTTGTGAGGCTGCACCATTGTGATCTGGCCACTCTCTGCCCAGGATTTGGTATGATCTAATTTCCAGAAGGATTTAAGTGGCAGTGTGTGCAGGGAGGCCTCAGAGCTGTCACAGAAGAAGTGGGAGATGTCACTTCCCCTGGAAGCTCTGCATTTCATTAAATTCTACTCTTAATTCCATTCTAATTCAATTTTTTATTTTTTTTTTTTAAGTGAACCATGGATGGCTTAGGCAGAGAGGAAAAATTTTCCTGTATCTTGTCAATACACTCATTTCTCCTTTTTAAATTGCCATAACTTCATGGAACACAAAGCCAAGTGTTCTAATTACTTATCTGAAGAGAACTTGATGTAATTTTTCAGTGAGGGGCTTAAAGCCCATCCAGTCCCACCCCCCTGCCATGGGCAGGGACACCTGCTAGACCAGGTTGCTCCAAGCCCTCTCCAAACTGGCCTTGGACACTTCCAGGGATCCTGGGGATGCCACAGCTCCTCTGGGCAACCTCTGCCAGGGCCTCAGCACCATCCCAGGGAAGGATGTCCTCCCAATATCCCATCTAAATCTCCCCTTTTATGTTTTGGAGCTATTCCCCTGTTTGAGTCTGAGATACAGATTGTGTGCCCTTGTTTTTAATACTTCTAGGATTCAAAAAAACACTGAATTTCATATAATACGAAATTCATGAGCATGTTTTCATGGTGATACATGAGAACAAATGCTGAAGTTAGACAAGAAAAGTGTAAGTGTGTAAATTAGAAAGTTTTTTAAATCACTGGGTGAAAAAGTAGTTTACAGATCAAGAGACAAGCTGGAGGATTTAGGGTGTTGTCTCTTGTCCTTCTTCTTCTTCTTCATGTTCTTTTCCTAGGGGTTTTTGGGTAGTAGTAAGGGATTGGGTAAAAAATGCTGGCAGTGCAGCACACAGGTGTTGGGTCATTGGGTCACTAAGAAAAATAATTTAGTTGGCATCTGTTAATTGGGTAAATGGACATATAAAAGACCTTGAAGAAGATCTTTGTTAGCCATTTTACCCCTTTTCTATCATAGTGCACATGGCTCCTTGTGCTTTGTGATGCTGATAAGAAAAAAATAAACAACTGAGTCTGAACGGGGGAAAACTAGCCTCCCTCTCGTCAATCTTCAGTTCAAAGGGAAAAAGAACCCAATCCAAAAGTCCAGTAACGAGACATTCCCCCTTGTCTAAAATCACCTTTAGGCACTGGAAAGGGCTCTAAGGGTTCCTTGGAGCCTTCTCTTTTCCAGGCCAAAAAATCCCAGCTCTCTCAGCCTTTCCTCATAGGAGAGATCTTCCATCCCTCTTAATTATTACTCAAATCTTTCACGAAGGACCCAAGCAGCCCTAATAGGACATTTTGTTGGGGATTGGAGAGGAGGTTGAGATTAAAAGGAATTTTTTGCCATTGTCACAGCTGGATACTGCAGCAGAGCTGTGTTCTGAGGTAAGTCAGGCTACCCCAGGGAGAGGCACCACAGGAAGCTGGATACTGGATGAGCCCCTTCAGTCCCTCGGGACACTCTGTCCTGGCTGTGACCCCTAAATTCCTTGGGACGCTATCTTGCATGACCCCAGATCCTTCATGACGCTCCCTCCTGGTTGCAACCCCCCAGAATCTTTGGGACACTCTATCCTGTCTTGTGACCCTAAATCCCTCAGGATGCTGTGTCCTGTCTGTCCCGGGCGCCACCTCCGCGTTTCCTCTTTCCCATAAGGGCCGCAGGGAGACCTTGGAAGTGCGGGGGGCAAAAAAAAAAAAAAATTGGTGTGAGGAAAAAAGTTTCCTTTTTCGACGAGGATGGGATTCGAACCCACGCGTGCAGAGCACAATGGATTAGCAGTCCATCGCCTTAACCACTCGGCCACCTCGTCACAGCGACTGCTTCCTCACCGGGCCTATAAGGAAGTTCGCCCACCACCTCCACCATCTCCTCCCACCCGCCTCTCCCCTGTG